TAATAGATAATACACATTGCTCTTATTTTTAAAAAATACATTCATGAAAAACAAGATAACAAAAATCATAAAAAGATATAGCCATGGCAGCTATAAATGTTTGAAATGCATAGGACAGATGTTTAATGACGCAGCAACATATAATTGAAAGGCAATTAATAATCTGTCATTACGTCACTGCATTATGATATTACGGCTCTAATACGGTGCAGCACAAAGCACTTATGTGCATCCCGAGCGGAGAATGATGTGCTTGAAGCCACATGAAGTTACAGCGCATTGAGTCCGTATTGAAAAGTTCAAAGCACAAAGGAAATACATATTTATGAACAGTGTATTATACATTATATATCTATGCAATAGTTTATTGAGCCTTTTCTTTTAAAGGTTTTAAATTTTAGTTACTGTGTGCGTGAAGAACAATTATAGTGCTCTGACTCTAGTGTTGTGATCTAACCGACAGCGTCTGACACCCGGTAGAAAGTAACACGATTAAGTTACAGCAATAAAGTCCAGCAAGAAAAAGTTTCTTCATTCGAAAATATAGACCTTTAGACCTTTATCTTAAAGACCCAGTATAATAGGATTAACATTGAATCATCTTGAAGATCGTTTCATCATTGACTGTAACCGAATGCGACGTGCTGTTTGAATGCTGAATGGAGAATGACTGACAGGCGCAGAGAGGGAAAAGTTTACGTGTTCTTGAATTTAATGACTTAAATATTAATTTCTATATCACATAATAGCTTCAGAACACTTATAATACAGTACACAAAAACTTTATGGTACTTTAGAAAGTTTTTGTGCCTTTGTGCCTTACATAGAATAGTATATGCACAATATAGAATTTGAATCAGCCTCGTCAAAGATGGCAGTGTCAGAGCCGATACCGATCCTGAGTATCTAATCGGCGCACTTCTTTTCAACAGTCAAATTGAAATTGAAATTGCTTGAAACTCAACAGATACATCACATTTATTAGCCAGTAGACGTGCAAAGTTTCAGAAACGGGCATGGTGCAAGGACTAAATAGCGCCACCTTTTGACAAAAGTGGGGTTGTTAGTTTTATCTACAGTTACAAAAATCGGTATATACATTTTACTCCTCAAGCCGGACAACTTTCTATTACATAGTCATTAGCTCGGACCAAGAGGAAGTCAGATATTTTGGTTTGAATATGGTGAGCCTCTCTCTGAGCCTACATCCCTGTATGGCAAGCCCTTTTAACATTTAAAAGCTAAGTTTGCCTATCCGGAATTAACATTGTAGATATCAACAACGTCTTTCTGTCTATTCGTAATTACATTTTGGATAGTTTGTATTATCATTTAAGATATCTGTAACATAATTTTGACTAGTCGAAATGACAGAGTATGGCAAGCCGTTTTAACATTTAATCATGAAAGGGCCAAAGCCTTCGGCACCGCCACCCGGGTGCCTTTAGGTAACTAAAGGAACCGGGGTTGCGGTGCCACCGGCTTGGGCCCGCCATCGCTGCTCGCAGCTATATTTCCTGTTGCTTTTAGACCAGCACGCGACGCGTTTAATATAGACGCATATTACACCAGATATTCTCTCAAATGTTTGCTTTCACTTTAGACATAGCCTGTTTATGTAAACATTGTGTGTATTTAACAGTACTAGCTTAATAAGACTCGAGAGAACTTAGTCCAGTATTCAGGCGCTGTTTGACAGACTTCTAGTGCCTGTGAGCGTCGGGGGTTATGCGGTCAGGAAAGCGCACGTTAGAACAGCGGATCAGCGCGTGAATTAAATGTTTAACCGGCAAGGCTTATGCAAATAATGAACTTTTGTGAATTGCGGTGTCCCGTAGGCTACCTATTCCTTAACGTGTGATCATGTGTAGGCTACGTCGCGTTGTACAGTTGAGAGACGGAGGCGCCAGAACTGAACTGATAGAATGCACTGTAACACGATACTACGATATTTCTTCAAAAGCAGATCGTGGAGACATTTTAATCGTCCACGATTAAAAATCGTCATATCGCACACCCCTATTTGGCAGCCATTTTGAAAAATGCCCGACATGGCCCCCAGGGGCCAAATTTTGAGCGCCTACGGTCCTAAATCTGATCAGACCCCCTTTGTGAGCCTTCGTACCAAATTTCATGCTTTTATCGCAAAGTGATCGATTCTGATGAAAATCTGCGCTTAGCCGCCCCACTACAGTCATTATTGGTGTTACTAAAAACTGCTGAAGGGTTTTCCTGCAATAATCTACAACAATATCACATACATCATTCTTTCTCTGGCAGGGTTCATTCATCAGTTTAACACACAAATACCATCTAATGGAGGCTAATGACTTGTTGAATCAATTAGGAAACGTACACTTCATTTAAACTTGACAAAGCAAAATAAACCCTGCCTGAATAAGGTTATTCTGGAAACAGCTTTCCGACTCATTTGTTGAAGAAACAAACCCAACTTAAAATATTCCACCAACAATCAAATGCTGTGTGAATGCAGTAGTTCCTGTGCATGTAGCTGCTAGTCAGTTGTTAGCAACACTTTTTACCCTCAGGTCAAGAAGGGCCTCTGGGTATAGAAAGATCCACTCATAATTAGTTTTAAATGATCTAAAATGAATCACCTGCTCTTAATTTGTAGTGGCATTCTATTTCCCTTATTATCATATTGATGAAATTGGGCTGCAAATGTGTGTGTGCAGTATCAAATGACTTCAGACAGAAATAAATTGACATACAATTATTTGTTCACATGCTATAAAACCCCCTTCACAATGTGCCATTAGACATCCATTCATACCTTAATTCATTGTAGAAGTTTTTCATTCATTGTAGAAGTTGCCTAATGTTTATATGACAAAGTTAGTTCACCACACTCTGTTTAAAGAGAAAACATGTTTCAGATTCCGTTTGCTGCCATAAACCTGTCAAATTACTGTAAATATATTTTGTCATTCAGTTTAAGCCAAAAATATTAACTTATTACACTGCATTAATTGCAGTGGCACCCCCCTCGGTTCAACTCACGTTCCGGTTCAAGTCAAAATGAGAGAAAGGGCACATTACTATTAAAGGGGCAGGGACTTGAGCTTTTTTTTTTTTTTTTTTTTACATTTTTGTACATGCAAAATACAATTTTAAAATTTCTTTATAAGACAGTGGAAGAAAATCTCTTTTCAACAGGCCTGATTCTGGAGGATGGTGCTCTCTTTCATGTGAAGAACTTATGTATTTTTCATTGAGTTCATGAGTCATCTTTTTACTGAGCTGGATAAAGGCGTCATGATTTATATATCTGGAGTGCACTTATAAACCCCTAAATAAGCATTTTCCCTCCGAGCTCGAGGCTCCCTGAAGACTTTAAGAACACATGTAATGTGATGATTTGACTTAGAATGACAGACATACAGCAGAGAGCAGAAGAGTGGGGGAGCATGAAGGCCCATTTGCTGGAAAGTTTGAGGACATTGACTACAAATAATATAAGACATTGGGTTAGAAAGAGAAAGAAAATATTATTGCAGTTGAGTGCTTTGGAGTTGTTTGTGTTCTTTGAGGGTTTGGTGTCACGTCTCCAAGTGGATGTGGTTTCTGTGTGAACTTCCCGTGTCCTTCCTTTCTTTCTGTCTCTTTCTCCGTCTTTCCCCCTCCCTTAGCCCCCTTTTTCCACAGAATATGGGCAAGATACACTTGCAGAAAAAGATTCGCAAAAATTGTACCTTTATACTTGGAAATCTTTCCAATTCATTAACGAGAAGTAAATCGTCTAGTCTGAGATGTCATTCTCATTTACCTGAATTAAAGTTTATTGACACATTTTCAGGTTTTTATATCTAAACAAGGTGTTTTGTTAATTTACTTCAGCGATTTTTGACAAGGGGGTTTAGTAGGAGGCCTCAGAAGACTTCACAGGGATGCATTATGACTTTAAAATCATTTAAGTTAATTTTATCAAAATGATCTAAATTAATTAAACAAATAAAATGTAAATGTAAGCTGCAATCATACCCACTGCGTAATGTGATGTTAGAGTGACGTCTTTTCGATGTAATTTTTGGACGTCCAGTTTCGGTCCAGGGGTTGTTTTGTAACGCCAGGCAACGTCTTTATTCGACGTCTTTTGCACGTCTAATATTGACGTCGGTGGGACCAAATGTGGTCGTTTGTGGACGTCTTTTCAACATCAAATTTAGTATCTTCTATAACTTCTATAACTGAAGTCCCATTTTTCAAAAAGGTAGAGGACATTTTTAAAGGATATTATCTGTACCATGTATTTATATTTTTGCATTTGGCAGATGTTTTTATCCACAGTGACTTACATTGCATTACACATTAAAATTTCTGCTTTCCCTGGGAATCAAACCCATGATCTAAGCATTATACTAGGTGGCCGTTTCACAAGCGCCAACGCCAAGGCTCTACTGTTTGAGCTACAGCATTACACCTTTGTATGTGTCAATTATCACCTTCTGCTTAAGACAATCAAATGCAGTTTTTGGAAAACTATCTTAAATAATTATAAATAATCTGTATTCATATGTATTAATCATGTTGATAACAACAATATTGATATTTGTAAATAAAAAAAATATTGCATATTAATCATGTAAATTTCCTGCTCCTTAATAGACATCCAAATGAGGTGAAATATAATGATAATGATGATATGAATGAAATGATAATATATAATTTTATTATACTTAACTTTTAAAGTACAGGGAAGTACTTTTTAAAAACTTTTTAAGTGGGGGGGGGGGGGGGGGTTTGTTGCAAGCAGCGATGCCATAATTACAGCAGAAATTCTGGACAAAATATAATTCAAAAAGGCTCTGTACTGTAAGTTTCCTACAAATATGATTGTTGGGCCTGACCACCCTGTAGAGATTTATTTTGTGATAATTATCATTAATAAAAAAAAACACAAAAAAAAAATTGACCACTCAAAATCAAATAGTCCTTAGGACAGTGTAGCAAGAAATAATTATTTTAGAATTTTTCTTACAATGAAAGCTAACACAAACGGTAAATGACATCTTCTGCAAACTTTTGTGATCATGTTAGCTACTCATGTAAAATATTTTCTAACATTCTTTGATTTTCTGTTTTCTTCTCTAACCATCAGATATTATAGTGCTGATTGCATCTGTTGCTGTGGTTTCGGCGGGGAGTCAAAGCAACATTTTTGCAACATCTGCACTAAGAAGCTTAAGGTTTTTACAGATCCTGCGAATGGTGCGCATGGACCGCCGTGGAGGAACTTGGAAGCTTCTGGGATCTGTAGTTTATGCACACAGCAAGGTAAGTTTATGGATAAGTCATCATCCAGAATTATCTTGGCAATAAAGATCTTGGAATATGTCAAAATCACACATTGTTTAAAAGCAGAAACCCCTGTGTATTTTTGTACTTTTGTTACTATTTTCCTGTGGTGCAGATATTCTCTAAATGTCCTCAGCGTCTGCTTCTCCATCTAATAGGAATTAGTCACTGCCTGGTACATCGGATTCCTTGTGCTCATCTTTTCCTCTTTCCTGGTTTATCTGGTGGAAAAGGAGTTTAATAAAGACTTTGCCACATATGCTGATGCATTGTGGTGGGGCACGGTGAGTCTTCACACCGCACATCTCTGCACAATGGTATATTCTCTCTTAACAAATAATATTCTGACCTACAGTATGATGACGAGCTCAGTGGTGGAATGTAACGAAGTACAAATACTTTGTTACTTTACTTAAGTACATTTTTCAAGTATCTTTACTTTACTTAAGTAGAATAAATAGTGCATACTTCTTACTTTTACTTCGTTACATTTTGCAGCAATTATTATACTTTCTACTCCACTACATTTCAACAACTTCTGTTACTTTTTCATTACATTTTCTGATCGTCTGACGTAATCTGACCGTCCGTCCGTTGCACGTTTGTCTCACCAGTGACGTTTGGTTGCCATAGATATATCAACCCGGTCACACTAAATGTGTCTCGCACGCAGTGCGTTTATCGTGCAATTTATACGCGAAAATTTGTTTTTATGTGCATAGGAAACGCACCGTGTGTAATATACGTTTGGTTAGGATTATGGCAAGCCAAGAGGTTCAGAATTACACCATAAATGAATCGCGTTTACTGCCAAACATAGTTATTAATATATAGTAAGGATAAGCATGATGTGTATATTGCCTAATTGCAAGCTTGTTTCAGAAATGGTGACAACAATTTTTTTCCATAATTATTGAACATCATTATAGGAGTATTAGGTGAAAGTAGTTAGAATTAAATGTTTTATTGATCATTAGAAAAAAATAGACATTAAGAGAATAAATTGTTATGCAAGTACTTTTACTTTTAATACTTAAAGTACATTTGAAATACTTTTTACTTAAGTATGGTTGTCATTGTGTTACTTCTACTTTTACTAAAGTAAATATTTATCTGTTTATTTGCACTTTTACTTAAGTACTGAGATTCAGTACTTCCTCCACCACTGGACGAGCTTCACAAAACAAGTTATTTATATCTGATGCGACTCTGATGCATTATTCCTGGGTAATTTTTTTCCGGCCCTTGCTAATGGTCAACATTACTAAAAAATTACAAGATGAACTAGTTTCAGTTTAATACGATCATTGACGTCAAATTTCAGTTCTAATTTCTTGTTCATTGCCTTCCACCATGTTTGGGAAATTGAAACCTTTTCCATAAAGGTTATACAGAGGCCCATTAGATTCCATTTCCATGGAGAAAGAAAGTAATCATTATGGGACAAAATGACAAATGCCATCTCTGGTCTTGCTTAAAAGCCCTGGACGCTTCATAGAAAATACTTCAGGTTTCATAAAGATTGTTTCAACCCCAAAAGGAAAAGACAAAAAGCCACATACAGTATATACATAAGTGAGGAGATAAACCCATACAGATATACTGGATAGATAATCATTTAGATTTATGCTAATTTTACCTCAAATTACATCTGTCACTTGGTAGAAGCTAGCCAAATTAGTCTCGACAAGTTGCTTGACATGCCATCATCCTCAAAAACCATTAACAAAATTATACAAAGTAAAAAGAAAAATCTCACCTGCAGAATGGATAACATGGTTGATGTCAACAATATTGTGTTTTATGTAATGAATTAATGGTAGGTTAAGATTAAAAACAAGCATGAATTTTTAAAGAAACATTTTTTTTTTTTCATTAATTAGATCACCCTCACTACTATTGGATATGGAGATAAGACTCCTAAAACCTGGACTGGACGAATGCTGTCTGCTGGCTTTGCCCTGCTTGGGATCTCCTTCTTTACTCTGCCTGCGGTAAACTGACACACATATTCTCATACCTTGTTACCTTACACTGCTTAATGTATTAATTCAGTGTTTGTGCATCTTGTCACAATAATTTGCACAATTGAAACAATTCCTAATGTCCTTCTTGGTTTCTAGCCTGCTCCACAAAATGAAATCTTATTCGTAATCTTATGTCGCACACAGCCATCCAGGGCAAGGACACAAACCCTGATGGTTGTTACATCCTGGGTATGCTCCCTCCGGGAAGACACTGTTGCACCGTACCTCGTCTCTTTCTCGAAGCCTTATAGGGCATTTGAGAATGTTTGTAAACAATAGGCACCGCAATACTTCCAGGAGGCAGAACGCGAGGGGCTTCTACTGACCAACCGAAGAGATCCAGCCGGCAACTGAACAGTTACAGTACATAGTTAAAATCATTATTGTTGACCAAAGTTGGCGAAAACGTGTTGTGTTTGGGGTTGCGCCGCCATATATAGCCTACAGCAAAAGGTGTAGGGTTTTTATCGATTTCCTTCAGAAAAAAGTAAATCTATCCAGCGGAACCTGTGGGTGAGGAGGTTAAAGCAAGTGGCCGTCGTCAAAAGTAGTGCATGTCGTCTTCTAATTATGAGCCTGAGCCCGATTTAAACCCAACCATTTTTAATACGTGGGTCGTTATATAACTGACGTTCTCAACTCTCTTACTTTCTATGTTACTTTCTCCCGCCCGCAACATTTATGTTTTGTCCCGCTGCCGCCCACAAACAGACTTTTTTTCTGTACCTCCAAATACTTTCAAGTTAGTCTACGTGTCGCCATCATACACATCAGCATCATCGCTCAACGCTGCAGTCATGTTCTAAAAAGAAACTCTGCCATGTAAATCATTTCTATTTTGTTTTAGTTGTTCTTGTTGCTTTTCTGCAACAGATGAATAAATATGTATTAGTTTTTATTTGTTTTATTCATAGATATTTCTAGTTTGTGGGAGTCCCGCAAATCGTTTTATTCTCCCGCAATCCACACACACAGAGTGAATGCATTACCGCCCGTGCTCGCACTCAGCCATCGATCTAGTCCTGTGCCGCGCTCTATTGCGTTGGGAGTGCACCTCTCTAGATCCCTATAGCTCTAATGATCATGTTAACTATGTCTGAATTTCCACCACGTCTGTTTTTGAATCAACTGTTGAAATGTAGATTAGGCTACTGCCGACGGTGTGTCTCTCTCCAAGCAATTTACTATTGTTGCCATAAGGACGCTTAGGCTTTTGCCACCCGGAAGAACATCTATTATTGTTGAGACGTCATGGTGAATTGTCGTATTGGGACTACTCCCATTACCATCTATTACCATGACCCGTCTATTTATGGTTGCTGTGACACACTTGCACTACGTCACCTGCATGCTGTTGGCCAATAGAATTGGTGTTTTTCCACATGCTCTGGGACACCAGCTCTGGGAACCAGAATACATATGTAACTTGAGAAGTTTACAGTAGTCATATTATCTAATTCTAACCTATGGTATTACTGACATGGTTCTACTTCACTTGTATTGCAGGGCATTTTGGGTTCAGGTTTTGCCCTAAAGGTTCAAGAACAGCACAGACAGAAGCACTTTGAGAAGAGAAGGAACCCTGCAGCCTGCCTTATACAGGTTAGACACAAGAGTCATGAATCTTCCTTTACAATTGATGATATTGCACATTTTATGACAGAGAATGTTATGAAAAATGTTATGCCTCTACCTCAGTGGTTCTCAAACAACTGTTTTTTCCCGCTGATCTCAGGGCGCGCCAAACACTTTGAGTTTGAGAACCACTGCTCAAAGTAGAGTGCTGTTTTGCACTAATAGTACCATATATGTTTTATGTACTGTTACTATGATTTGTGTCTGAATGCACACCAGTGGTTTTGTTGCCTGATAAATCTTTTATGAAATGTCTGAGGCTGGGGATAGTTTTACCTAACAGACAAATAGTTAGGTTTATTTCACAGCAAGGAGACTTTATTTGTTTGGACCAGTGTTTAGCTAGTTTTAATGTGGTTTAAATGTGGTTTTAATACCAGCAATTAAGAGTTGTAAAAATCTCCTAAATTTGTTGCAAAATATATTGGAGGAACTTCCCTGTTTGTGTGTTTGTGTGTGTGTGTGTGTCCGTGTTTGTGTGCGTGTCTGTGTGTATGTGTGTGTCTGTGTGTGTGTGTCTGGTGCATACGTGTGTGTGTGTGCGCAGAGCATTGTGTTTCTGCTCACTATGTTTTACTCTCCTTAACCCTGAATAAGGCTGCGTGGCGATATTACTCCACCGATGGTAGTCGTCCTTACCTTGAGGCCACTTGGCGTCACTATGAGTCTACAATCCCTGCCCCGAGGCATGTATGGGTGCCTGCTCTGACCGAAAAAAAAACCAGTGTAGTTTTTTTTACTAATCTGCTTTTTTTTCTTTTTTTTTTTTGTTCCTTTTTCTTCCCTTTCTCTTCTATTGGCTCGTTCTTCTTCTGTCTTTTTCCTTTTTCCTTTATCCCTTGTTTTTTTGGTTTTATATATTTTTGCATGTAGTGTGTGTGGCGTAGCTATGCGGCTGATGAGAACTCGGTTTCCGTTGCAACCTGGAAACCTCATTTGAAGGCGTTGCATACCTGCAGTCCTACAAAGTACGTACAACCCCCCGGCAGGTGTTATTCTATATCCTGTCTGTTCCCATGGTTCATTAATTTTTTCACAAAGGAATACTTTCCTCTTTTCCTCTATTTAGTTGTTAAATTTTCTCGTGTAACTTTATTGTGCCTGTCTCCCACACGGTCCATTTTTCTTCTCACATCCTCTTCATTTCAACATTCAAAAAACAACATGCCAGTTTTATGTCCATTTCGCATTAATCTGATTCTGATACATTCATTGACATTCACAAGAATCATTATAGACCAGGTTCAATTGACAATAGCAGGTCTAGGTCTAGCTGTCCATAAAATCACTGATTGCAGTTTCTCTCAAAATGAAGGGGAAATAAATGAAGCGAATGGACAGTAATGTTTCTCTCCATTTTGCATTTATGCCAACATTCTGTTTTATAATGGCACATTCATGGATAAGGTGAATATGCAGTAGTTGTCCATCTTGGTAAATTAGCAGCACCTGATTAAGAAAAAGGTTTGATTGCCTTTGCCTTGACCATGGAATGTAACTAGACCTGCCGAAAGCATTACTTTAAGCATACAGAGAATAAACTAGATATTCAGAAGGGCTCCAAATACATAATGGCAAATTTATTTGCTTGAGCTTCTGAATTCCTTGCAATACTCTGCATGTTTTGATTTGCATGTATATGCATTATGTTTTAAACTGGCTGTTGCTTTTGGTGCATTAGTATGCATGAAATATTTTATGATAAACTGGATGAATCTGAATTTATGGCATGTGTTGTTTATAAGAAGACTGTTTACTGTAGATTAATTTAACATCTCACGTTTAAATATTTCTCTTTCTACATCACCCTTTGACTCCCACAGAAAGGATCAAGGAGAGTCATCTACAAGGTTTGTGTTGTTTCATATCCTATATATGAAGAGTTCAGATGCAAAAGCCTCTAAATGCCATTTGAAATTTTCTTCTTGAATGATGATTTTTATGGGCCTTTATTTCTAGTAATTCAGACTAAATTTCTAGTAATCATTAGTTCATATCTTCTAACTGTGACTTTATGGGCTCTATCTTGCACCCGGCGCAAATGACTTTATACACAAACGCATGTATCATTCCTATTTTGCCACGCGCAAAGCGGGATTTTTCCCTCCACAGACGCACGTCAGTAAACTAGGAAATGAACTTGCGCTCCCTGGGCGGATCGGCACAAAAAGGAGGCGTGTTTCGGCGCAAACATCCCCTGGTGCTATTTTACACTTCCAGAAAACAATGGGCTTTATGCCCAGCTGCACTACTTCCTGAACTTCAGCCAGCTCCGTGTTTCCTGTCTGCAATTATTGGCCAAATTGATTAATCCAGGTGTGTCTGATTATTGTTGCCATGACAACTGAGGTCAGGCACACCTGAATTAATCAATTTGGCCAATAATGGCAGACAGGAAACAAGAAGCTGGCTGAAGTTCAGGAAGTAGTGCAGCTGGGCATAAAGCCCATTGCGCCACTGACCAGAAAAAACCTGGTCTAAAGTCAGTGGCGCGTTGCGCGTTGTTCAGTCCCTCCAGGATTTCACGATTTTTTTTTGTGATTTTTGCGATCAAAATGACTGATTTTGTGGTGGTAATTTCCAAAAATTTGTGAAAAAATTTGCGACATTTATATATAATATTTACCATAATAGTTTTCAGTCCTTCCAGAAAAACGCGGAGTTTTTTTGTGATTGTTGCGGGCAAAAATTGATTGATTACGCGGCCCGTTTTCTTTTAAAATGCAATGGAATATGCGGGATATTTATGCAATGAAATTGCAGGAATTTGCAAAAATTGAGGGAACTTGCAAAAATTGCGGTTTGATGAAAAAGAGAAAGAGAAAAAATGATTCCCCCAACATCGTGTTCTCACTAGGCTAATGTAAGAGTCATTTCTTATTACTTCCTTTGATAAGCAAGCATACTACATCATAGAAAGTGCTGGGAATGTTTAATTTCTCATCTTGTTTTATTTCAGACTGTAACGAGTGTAAATAAGGTGTGGCCCCTTTAAGAGCTGTGCGCTCCCTGTTGAACTCTCTGCAGTGTTATATGTGCGCCTTGAACACCCCATGTGTGCGGGTAATTTCTGTTTGATGCTACACTTCTTTTATCTTATGTTGTTTATTAAGTAACGATGTGACGGTAGAACGTGTGACAGACAGTTATACGAGTTCGATTTGTGAGATGTCAATCGCCTCCGTGAGTCTGTCTGGCGTCGCGTAATTGCGTCACTTCATAACGTTCCCATGGAAACAGGGGGAAATGGCTGCTCTTGTGTGAAGCAAACGCAACATTTTTCAACTTTCTGCTAAGATACATGTGACTTTTTTGCAACGAAACTTTTTTTGCAGTGAGGATTATGAAATTATGCAAACCCCGCATATTTTGCACGGAAATCGGCAATTTATGCGGCGATAGTGCGGCGTATTTGAAAAAATGCGGCCCCCGCATAAATATGCGGACTTTGGCTGATTTTGCATTGAATTCAGCGATCGCATAATCGCGTTTTTCTGGAGGGACTGGTTGTTCATAATGCTATTTTAAGCGCGCATGCTTGGCCATAATGTAGCAGAGCACGGCGCGCATACACTTTGATTCTCTCATCAACACAGATGCAGCAGTTTTTATTTTTGCTAATCATACATTATAACAAGGAAAAATATTAAAACATGAAGGAAATCATTGTGCTTTACATGAAGATTAAAAAACCTTATTACCCTTATCAGACCTGTTTGCCCAATAGTGGCAAGAAACATACGTATATAATGTTTAACTGACGCTGATGTGCAAGGGTTTCTCCCGTCCCCATACAACGTCACTTCTCTGTCTTTTACTGCCCTGACAAGAACGTCGGTCTCATCCATAGACAGTAAAAGAAGGTCTCATCGGCTGTGAACGCTCCTGGCATGTGCCTGGTAAATTCGCCGTTATAATAACAATCCGTCATGCAACATGCACACCTGTTCTTAAAGGGTATGTTGGATGGCGCTCTGATTGGTTTATTTCACGTTACGCCCAAACCACACCTATGAATAATGAAGCTACTTTCAGACCAACCTCTTTTAGATTTGCGCCAGGCGCAAGAGGCATTTATCCCGCCCACAAAGTTACTTGCGCTTTGCGCTTTGACACTTGCTTTTCAGATCGTTAAAATAGGGCCCTATATCTCAAAATGTGACTTCATAATTGGCAATATGACTATATATTTTATGATTGCAACTATTCCTCATAATTATGACTTTTTATCATAATGCAAATTTAAATCTTGTAATTTGACTTTTTACAGTTACAGTATATCAATTATGACCTTCTTTCTTGTAATTGCACGGCACAATGTTATTTAATTTTTTTTCAAAATTGCAAAAACTTATTATTGTGACTGTTTTATGAAACTTAATCTGGAAATTAATTTTCTACATTTTATTCTGGGGAGTAAACAGCCTTCCATATTTGATCAGTATTTCCCTCTGATGCCTGTTTACAGCAATCTGTTATTAAGCGCACTGATTTTTCATCCGACACATACTTTGGGCAGATGGAATACGAAATAGCAATGAATTGAGATGTTCTCATGCTTTCATGTTTTGTCACTTACCAGACAAATGTGATTACTGGGGGTTTGGCTTCAATTAGAGAGAGAAAATAATGGAGATGAGAAAGCCAAGTCAGACTGTTTGCAGGACTGCATTACATGCCAGTTACTAAGACGTAGTGTCATCAGTCCAGATAACAGAAAGTGCTAGTGGTGTCATTTGCATAATTACTAAGATAGAACTTCAGATTTTGCCATAATAGTATTTCCACCATGAACAAGGCCAGACAAAATCATTTCCACATCATTATGAATTTATTAAGTACAGAACAATTACATGACATTCATCCATTTGCCTTAGTGTGAACAACAGATTTCAAAGAGGTGTTTGGATGTGATGCTTCTGTGGGTTCTAACCTGTTTGTGTGAAACAACCATCCATCCTCTAATTTATGATGCACTACTCATCAATGACCAAGAGACAATGATACCATAATTAGCATAGTTGCTAATGTGACATTATTGAACAGAAGTGGATGACTCACTGCAGTGCTGCATTTTTGAGTGGCCGCTGGCCACTGAGTCATACTCAGCTGTCCGATCTACACTCACCTAAAGGATTATTTGGAACACCTGTTCAATTTCTCATTAATGCAATTATCTTATCAACCAATCACATGGCAGTTGCTTCAGTGCATTTAAGAGTGTGGTCCTGGTCAAGACAATCTCCTGAACTCCAACCATTTTTAGGGTTTACAAAGAATGGTGTGAAAAGGGAAAAACATCCAGTATGCAGCAGCCCTGTGGGCGAAAATGCCTTGTTGATACTAGAGGTCAGAGGAGAGTGGGCCGACTGATTCAAGCTGATAGAAGAGCAATTTTGACTGAAATAACCACTCGTTACAACCGAGGTATGCAGCAAAGCATTTGTGAAGCCACAACAGGCACAACCTTGAGGCAAACAGGCTAGAAGCAAGCAGAAGACCCCACCGGGTACCACTCATTTCCACTACAAATAGGAAAAAGAGGCTACAATTTGCAAGAGCTCACCAAAATTGGACAGTTTTTGGACAGAAGAAATGTTGCCTGATCTGATGTGTCTCAATTTCTGTTGAGACATTCAGATGGTAGAGTCAGAATTTGGCGTAAACAGAATGAGAACATGGATCCATCATGCCTTGTTACCACTGTGTAGGTGTCATAATGTGGTTTTGTGTTTTGAAATTTCATTTACAGTGGTTCCCTGTCTATTAATTATCCCAGGTGTTTCTTAATTCTCACGCCCCCTTGTTATCTGGTCTAGCTTGTTTGTCCCTGATTATTTAAGCCCTGTGTTTCTGCCCTGTCTTGGTGAGTTCTTGTTTTATGTTGACTGTAAACGCCGGTGTTGGTTGTTCCTGTTCCGTAGTCCAGTTTTCTGTCTAGTTTGTATATCTGTTAAATAAAGCGTGTGCTGCACATGGATCCAGCGGCTTTACCTTGTTTCAACTGCACTAGCAACGTTACAGAAGAACTCACCACATCGTGATCCAGCAGCCATGCCTTTCTGGAGTCTTCTTCTCCGTCAAGAGAATCGGACCATAGAAAAGTACGTTGCGGAGTTTATTGAACTGGCTCATCTCACGCAAATGAGCACCCAATGCTTGAAGATCTTCTTCCGCGGGGGATTAGAGGAACCACTCCGGTCTCTGCTGCCCGAACCCTGATCCGCACAGGTCTTTAGAGTGGTATATCGACCTGGCCCTGTTGAGGAGCGGCTCTGCGTTTACTGTGGGTGCGGAGGAGAGCAAACATCGAGAGTCTGCACTTTGCGTCAGCCCAGTCGAGCCCGCGCTCCACGTGAACTTTATCGAGGCCGCGACTCCCGTCAGCCCAGCCGAGCTCGCGACTCACGTCAGCCCAGCCGAGCCTGCACTTCTCGTCTGCCCAGCCGAGGCCGCGCTTCACGTGAGCCCCGATGACGAGCATGCACTTCACTCAAGCCCCGCGAGTGAATCAAGCCTTGCAAGTGAATCTTCTCCAGTTCAAGTGACTGAATCTTCTCCAGTTCAAGTGAGTGAATCTTCTCCAGTTCAAGTGAGCAAATCTTCTCCAGTTCAAGTGTGCGAATCTTCAGGCCCAGTGAGTGCATCTTCAGGCCCAGTGAGACTATCATCAATTCAATTGAGACGCCACCGCAGGAGGAGAAGGAGGACTCGTTCAGTTCGCCAGGCTCCGGTAAGCGTACCTCTGTGCCTCGCCCTGCCGGCCCCGCCTCTGCGCCTCGCCCTGCCTTTGCCCTTCAAGCTCTGTTCAAGCTGTGCCCTTCAAATCAGACATGGACCTCGCCTCTTCCTGCTCTGCCCTGGCCTTTAGCTCGTCCTACTCCACCCTGGCCTTCACCTCGTCCTGCTCCGCCCTGGCCTTCACCTCGTCCTGCTTCGCCCTGGCCTTCGCCTCGTCCTGCTCTGTCCACGCTCTGTGGCCCAGGCCCGCCTTGGCTACCTCCTTGTCCCGTTCCCCTGCACGGGCCTGGCCCATCCTCTGATGGCTACTTCAAGCAGGATGATGCACCATGTCACAAATCTCGAATCATTTCGAATTGGTTTCTTGAACATGACAATGAGTTGACAATGAACGGGAGCTTCGTGCCCTGGATATGCATCCCACAAATCTCCAATTACTGCAAGATGCTATCCTATCAATATGCTATCCTATCTTTTAGCAACTTGTTGAATCAATGCCATGTAGAATTAAGGTGGTTCTGAAGGCGATAGGGGGTCAAACACAGTATTAGTCTGGTGTTCCTAATAATCCTTTAGGTGAATGTATAATGAGTCAACTAGTCATTTTTTCAAGTTAATATAACTAAAGATAAAACAATCTTTTGTAAAAACCAAAGTAGATGCTTATTAAACAGAAAGCCTGAGTGTAAGACCAGCAAAAGACCAGCTCAGAGACCAAAAGACTAGTTTCTCTATAAAATTCCATGTTTGAAACCCGAAAAATGACCCCATGTAGATTTCACATTGGTTCAAGTTGGTCACGTAGTTTCACTGTGTTGAACAACAGAAAGCTGCTTGGGTAGAAAGTAACCTCTGTCATCTTTCATCTTACATTACATATTGACTTGGCAGATCATATCTAAAGGGGCCTTTCATAATGATTGTATAGAGTTTATTTGACTGCATTTCTAATACTATGGGAGTCTAAGCAAGCAATGCAGATAAAATAAATGACTTGGCCTCTGCATGTTTTCTACTTAAAAGTTATACATTAAAGTAGAAATTGAAGTTATACATCTACTTTTCTTGTACTTAATGGGCATTGCCATGGCTCATGGCTGAAAGGAAAGTGCTGTTCTTTCTTTCACTCTCTCATTCTTTCAATTTTCCCCCCTTTTAGTCAGAAACTGAGTTTTAAGGACAGAGTAAGAATGGCAAGCCCCCGTGGACAGAGCATTAAAAGCAGGCAGACGTCCGTTACAGACAGACGTTCGCCCGGAGCTGAGATCAGCACTGATGGATCGAGTCCTGCCAAGGTCCAGAAGAGTTGGAGTTTTAATGACCGCACCCGATTCAGACCCTCTCTCCGTCTCAAGAGCCAATCACGGTCTACCACTGAAGGTGAAGGAAATTCTGATTGGTGGATTACATTGAACCACTATGTGCATTGAAAAAAAATAGCTCTATACATTTATTCTATGCTGTCTATGTAGTGTAGAAACTAACGCGTTAATTAAGATTAATTAATTAGAGACTTTAATGCATTAATTAATTACACAAAAAAATTAACGCATTTTAATCGCACTTATGTTTGCACCGCGGAACATTTCTCACTGGATTAGTTTCGGTGGACCGATAAAACTAGCGTTCATGACTTTTTTTTACAGTCTATGCCTCAGACAACTAAACATCAAACTGCAGTGAACATGAACGAAGAAGCTGACGAGACCGCTTTGGTTGGTCCCGTGGATGGGAAATTTTGTTATAAAAACGAACCGATGGAAGCGTCATTAAGAGCATGGTTGTTGTGTGCAATCTATGCAACAAGGAATCCGCATATCACATCGACCCTCAAGTTTCACCTCAACGCAAAACATATACAATTGCACTGGTCTGTTGGACTTGGTTGAACAAAAAATAAACAATATTTTGTTGCTTAAGCTTATGTATTCAGTCATTATTCAATGTAATACTAAAAATCCATGTGAAAAAAAAAATCTTCTCACTGTTCTCAGTTCAAATATTTCTGCAATTAAAATGCGATTAATTTCGATTAATTAATTACAAAGCCTCAAATTAATTAGATTAATTTTTTTTAATCGAGTCCCGGCCCTAGTAGAAACATAATGAAATTCAAGATGAATTAAGACAATAAAAATACAAATCTGATCATAACCGGTAAAATATATATATATAATTTTTTGGGGGTTTAAATATGTTTTAAATGTTACTAGACCAAAAAACTCAGAATATCAGGAGATAACAAATATATTTACAGTCAACCATGATGAGAGCTTATTGACAATGTAGTTTGACAATAGTAATTATTGACAATAGTAATGGTTATGTTATTAATTATCATAATATTTGGTTGTTACTAAAAATATATCTGTCCCTCTGATTGAGAGAGGGACCCCTTCCCCTCCCTCCCTTATTTATAGCAAATCATCAGTGTGCATAATCATGCCTTGTTGTGACATAATCATGAAAATTGGGTTTAAATCATTTTTTTTTTCATTGGACCAGTGTCATTCAGGCAAGAGTGCAACAGAGGGTTGCAAATGTGATATTTCTTTTAAATCAAAGTTCAATAAAAAGGAGTTTATGTTGATTTGAACTTACATTTAAAACACAATTATCAATTACTTTATCTATTTGTGCTCCACTATAGAGAATAGTTCCAAATGAAACCAAAGCAGAATCAACCATTTCACATATCAAAGCAAAACCTTATTTTTAACATAAGAACGGGTGCTGCAATCTGTAACTTTAATGTGCCTGTTTTGCAGCTTGATATTGCCCCAAAAGGCACCAAGTTTCGTATAATTCTGATAAAGTGAAAAAAAAAATTGTCAGGCTGACTGAAGACCACCAGAGAAACATCCCATTTACACCCTTTAATCACAGAATTACAAGAATTTAAGTAGGATGTTTGATTTTTAAGTATTAAACAACATTGAAGATGTCAATTTGTACCTTTGGTGCAAAATACATACACTGAAAACAAAAAAATCCTGTTAAAAAAACGGTAAAGTACTGGCATCTGTGGTACCGTAAAATGACAGTGTGTTACTGTTTTTGAAACGAACAGCTAAATACTGTATTGTAAAAACTTTAATTTAACAGCTATATGCTCTGACACAAAAACAGTAACAGACCGTGTAGTTACGGTATGATGCTAGCAACCACAGCTGCCAGTAGTTTACCGTTTTTTACAGGATCATTTTTTACAATGTAATGGCACACTCATATATTTTTGAACAATCACCTATTATAGACCTATGCACCAGAGAAACGTGGACGCCGTCATCTATAGAATATTGTCTTCGAACTTCCATTTTTGCGGCCGCTCTGTATATTTGTATGGCATCGCTGTCGAAAATTAGTATCATATTCATAACATGGTGGTTTGTAGTGCAAATAGTTTTATTGTACTTTGTTATTCTTCTAAAAATAGCTTTCTTCTGTATTGCAAAGTAAGGTGGATAAGAGTGTTACATTTATAAACTAATCATTGTTTTTAAACAAATCAGTTGAGAAAATTATTCAGTGACTCATGATATACAAGATGATGTAACTATATAACCTGCAGAAAATCCCCAGCAATAATACACAATCTGACTGACAAATAGAGTGATAAAAAGAATGAAAAGTCCCAATGCTGTTGTGGTAAATATCTGCACTGTAACACTGCTCATCCACTGAAATATGAGGACAGGAACTATACGGCAGATAAAAAAATAAAAATAATAAAAAAACAATGCCTAGACAACTCCATCCACTCATTGGACTACACTGCTTAAGGCTCTGTTTACATCCCCTGTGAGAATAAGACAACTCGTCTGTTGTAAAATATGTATTATTTATAATTCAGACACATTAATGAATGCATATATAAAGGCATGGTATGATTTAGATGTAATCTGAAGTCTTTATACAAAGTGGGAAGGCTGTAAGGCACTTGATGTCATATACATTAAATCAGAACGGTTTAGGGAAATGTTTAATGAAAAATTATTACCTAACTTTAATTGTATTAATATGCTTGTGTCTTGTACTGTGTTGTTCTGCAGCCTGATGCCTTGTTTATACTCAACGCGTCCGCACGAGCGCGAGTTTCCGCTGACTGAGCGCGCACCTCTCCAAATGCTTGCCGTTGTGCTATTCTGTGAAACGACAGGGGGCGAACTCGGTAACACAGTCTCATCCCAAAAAGTCATATAACTGACGTTTTGGGACGTATTTTGACCATACGTCAATATCCGCCTTTTTAGGGCCCCCTTAAACGTCGGTAGATGGCGATCCCGGGCCGTCATACAACTGACGCTTTACCTTTAACGTCAGTTAGGTGACGGGTTAGGTTTAGGGTTAAGTTTAGGTATTGGGTAGAGTTAGGATCCCATAACCTCATCTACCGACGTTTAAGGGGGCCCTAAAAAGGCGAATATTGACGTATGGTCAAAAGACGTCCCAAAACGTCAGTTATATGACGATTTGGGATGAGACCGGGTTGAACTCGGAGTAATTCTCCTCTAAACCACCAGGAATCAGCAGTGAAGAAGTAGTTTGCCGTTTATTAGTAGTTTATTAATGGCTAATTCATAAAAGAGTAAATGCAGTAGGTTTATTGCAGGCTACTTTCACTGCATGTAAAAAACTGACGCCTTATTGGAGAGTGTTTAAACCTTAATTTTACCAGCAGGGCTTAATTCTGCTATTGTAGGCTTATTTTGTAAATGTAACCAATTACTTTAGACAAGACGTGCAAACGAGGTGCGTAATGCAAATGTGTTCCTGTTCACAAAATGAGATTTTATGGTCGCCCATCAATGCAAATGTCTCTGTGTAGGATCATAAACATGCGGTACAGATCGTACCAGTTCGGCCAGATTCGGCTCGAAGTCGTACATATTCGGATGCGGCGCCATGCGCGATGTTATAAAAAGTGCCATGCACACCGCCAGGCGATATGGGGTTTTGCGCACCCAACACGCATGACCACCCACAACGCAATGACGTAATTTTTGCCGCGCACCCTTCGCGCTCTTGCGGACGTGTCGAGTATAAACAAGGCTTAAGACATGAAGGCCTTAACAAGCAGGGGCCCCACAAAAAAAGCCTACAAGTATCCAGGTTATTTCAATAGTACAGTTCAGACATTCTACAAACTATAAATAGCTTTGCAACTACAGTAAATGTCAACTAACTCATTAATTTGCAACTACATGTCTACCAAATGTCTACTTTTTAATCGGTAGTTTGAATCTTAATTTTTAATATACGACAACCTGACATACCAACGCTATCTCACGACAAATTCGTACAAAGTTGTGAGAGTGATTAAAAAGTGGCTAATTCGTACTAATTCATACGACCTCACTCGTACGAATTCGTATGATTTGTCTAAACCCACGTAATGGGTTTAGGGGCGGGGTCAGGGGTAGGTCATTTGTACGAATTCAACTCGTAAAATATGTACGATTTTGTTTTTTTGCAAAAATGGTCGAGTGAGGTTTTACGAATTGTTACGAATTAGCCACCTCATAAAATTTGTACGAATTGCAGTGAGATCGGGTTGGACATACAGTTTAAAAACTTGATTACATGTATAAAGAGGCCTTTTCGGGGCCTTTTGAGGGACACATTAGCATCCAATAAGTGGGGTAGTAACTTGTTGGAATTCTTCATTCAAGAATCGTCTTGCCTCTAAGCACAAAGTGCGAACCTTGATATTTTAGCCAGAACTATAAATTCCTTCCTCTGTAATACCCTTTGGTTGTAAATATCTTTCTCCTTTATTAGACCGATCGATTGCAGTCTCTCGAGTCAGCTTGTGTGAATTCTTTATGTAGCATAAAGCAAGCTGAATCTGCAACCAACACCACTTTTCCTTCTAGTCTCTGGTTTACATCATAGGTGTAGCCATAGATAGCCACTTTTAGTGCAGAAATGTGCTTCAATCTGGGTTCACCTCTTTAGAGTTCCAATGATGTATCTGGATTGCATATCCACTCTTGAATGATTTAACCCATAAGAACCCGGACCAATTTCCCCTTATAGGAAAATTATGGGGCATATAAAACAGCCTAAGTGGACCACTTTATGTTTCTGCTGTTGTTGTTTTTTTTTTAAATACAACCACTCCTTGTCAAAGATCTGTTATGTTACATATATGCCACATTGGGCATTTATGATAATTTTTTTATGTTACATATATGTCACATTGGGCTTGCATTTTTTATTTGGAAAAAAATGCATTTTGTCAGTTTTCTTGCTAAATATTTTTTTTTCTGTTTATATTTTTTTAAACATAACTTTTCTGGGAAGATTCTCTTCTCTTTTTCAGAAGTAAGATTTTTTTTGCATTTTATTTGCTTTGCCACATATTTCAGAACCACATAACTGTGACCTTTTCAGGTATACGTTTTAATCAGAAATATTTTTTTAGATTATTTTGCAAACTGAATAAAATAAATAACTACCTAACACTGGAGGTCAACATGTTGAACATGCATATAGTGCAATAACATTGCAAAATTCTACCTTTTCAGGTATATGGTTTAACCTGAAATACATTTTTTGATTATTTTTCACAAAACATTTTCAAAATACATTTCATTAAAGGGTAAACCCGAAACCAACTTTTTTTTAGTTAATGATCTGTAAGACTGGGGCTTTATTATTGCTACTCATTGATTTTTTTTATACATTGGGGTATAAAGTGTTTTAATTCTACAATATACGGTGTAAAAACTGCAGTTGAATTTTCCTTTTGGAAGTTGTGGTGCCCTGTGATGTAAGCAAGCACCAGCTAACCACGCTCTCTAGCCTACAGAGAGATGTGTTTCAGGTGCATGCCGTGGCAACAAAAATGCACATATTGTCACATGACTGAACCTGGTCATTCCTTAAATTTCCCTTAGGGACTTCCTGGGTTAAAAGTGAGGTATAATGCTTTAACTTTCAAATGGTCTTCGTTTCCTGTTTACACTTCTGGGCTTCAGGGTCTATACGACCCCAACAGTTGATTAATTGTCCAAAAAAATACATTTATAATCATACAAATAATATATCATTTTTTTGTTTACTTCTCATCTACAGTATTCATTAATGCTGTGTTTTTGGAGATATAAAGTACTTTTGTATCCATATAGACCATTTTGCAAGATGTAAACAACACCCCAGATAGCAAAGTGACATTGAATCAACGTGGAAATATGACATTGAAACAACGTTGATCTGACATTGTTTTGCTCATCGAATTAACGTTGAACCAACGTCAGACGCGTCATTCTTTCAAAACTAACGGAAAATCAACTTGAAATCAACGCGTTGTTTCAACGTTATGAAAGCAAACCAATTTTCGATTTTCATTTAGCTTTGAAGAATGCCGCGTCTGACGTTGGTTCAACGTTAATTCGATGAGCAAAATCAACGTTGTTTCAATGTCATGAGAGACGTCGTTTCCACGTTGATTCAATGTCAGTTTGCTGTCTGGGACTGGTCCAGAAGCACTTCCTGTTTCAGTTTTTTAACACTACACAAAAGCTGGGATAAAATACAACCATGTAAAACTGAATCAAAAAGTTAAACAACAACTTTAAGATGTTTTCTTTACATGTGAAATAAATAAAACAATTACAAACTGAAACAGGAAGTGTTTCTGGACCAGTGTTGTGTACATCTAGCAAAATGGTCTATACCACACAATTCCTCAACTAAACCATTAGCTTTAGCATTAGCATATGAAATCTAATTTTGTTATGATACATTGTTTTTATGCTATTGTACTAGGCCTTCATTTCTGTGTAAAAAATTTCAGATTAATGCTGGATTTTTTATTTTTTTTGACAGTTTTTTTTTTTTTTTTTTTTTTTTGTTTGTTTGTTTTTTTCACATTTCCCATTCATTTCAATGTGGGGTCATATTGACCTCGAAGACCAGAAGTGTAAACATTTTTTGCTTGTTTACATACCTTCAGAACAACAGAATCAAGCCCAGTTTTTTGTGTCTGTATAGATAGATAATGTATGATTATCTATGAAAGTCACAAAATCTTATTCCACTGAGATGAAGGGAACCTTTTTTTATTAAGTAAAAGTCGATTGGGGTCGTATAGACCCCATGACCCGATTAAGGGCTACAAAAACCTTCGTCACAGCGGCTTTTTATGAGTTGTACATACTCATAGAAATGTATTTAAGTAAAAGTACAATTCATCAGTTTCAATTCAAGTTCATTTGGACTGCAACTTTGTTAGTTTATTTTCATTTGCAAATGTTTAATTTTTATTTTTTACCTCTGATGTTGCTCTCAGATGTTGTTTTGATTAGATGCTCTTTTAATTATTATGTTTGCCTTTCTCTTGCTTATTACTCCTCCATTTTTTTTCAATTCTGACTGACTCTTTATTCATTATGTGCTGATGACTTTAAAATTTTCATTATTTTTGTCACAGGTGAGGCTAACATTGGTGTCGATGAGGGTTTTGATGAGAAAGGGTGTCATTGTGATATGTCGGCTGAGGACCTGCCATCCGCACTGAAGACCGTCATCAGAGCAATGAGGTAGTGATTCTTTACTTCCCTTCATGCTGTAATATTTTAGATCTCTGAGACATTAAAATTAAAGCTCAGCATTTCATGAGCTATCAGTGATTATTGAAATGAATTCACTAAAAGATAATTCAAAGCTATAAATTCTTGTGTGGCCTGTAGGCTAGATGCATAATAAATGTTTTTAAAGGTGAATTGTGTTAATTCTGTACCAAGCATGATTTCAAAATAAAAAAATAAAAAAAATCTTGAAAGTGCATTGGTCAGCCAAACAAATCACACCACTGGTTGAGCCAATGTTGCTATGTTGGACCAAAATCTATACACTTTTTCACTTTCACTTTTCTTTTGACGTGTCTTTTCACTTTTTGTTTTGAGCTGTATACTCCTGAATAAAAGTATAATATTATCATATGGTTCTGCAGGATCATGAAATTCCATGTGGCAAAGAAGAAGTTTAAGGAAACTCTACGCCCATATGACGTGAAGGATGTAATAGAGCAATATTCAGCCGGTCACCTAGACATGCTCTGCCGAATTAAGAGTCTGCAAACTAGGTAAGACACACCAACTGCTGTCTGAACATGTTTTTCCTTATATGCAAACTATACTAACAATTAAAAGTGTGTGTTCTGGAAAATGCATTTATTTAATTTGACAGGAAATTAATACTTTTATTCAACAAGGATGCATTAAATTGATAAAGAGTGACAGTAAAGACTTTTATAACATTTTCAAAAGATGTCTATTTCTCTTCCATCACAGAATCCTGAAAGAAATGGTATCATAGTTTTTACAAAAAAATATTAAGCACAAGTTTTCAACATTGATAATAATAAGAAATGTTTCTTGAGAACCAAATCAATGAATTAAAATGTAAATTTAGATCAGCATATTAGAATGATTTCTAAAGGATTATGTGAAATCAAAGGGTTTATTAGTGACCTCTACATCAAATTCACACGGGTAGGTCTGGTTCATTTTAATGCCATCATGTCGCATGTGTTCTGATGGCCCCGAGGCAATGGTTCTCCTTGGTCATATATGGGTCACTGGGTGGTGGGGAGACCCTGAGGTTCTGCCAGACAATGCGATGTTGAGCGTTTAAGAAGCTATTGTATCATTATTACATATAAGTAATGTACCATTATTCGTCATAGTTATATTACATTATCAACTCAAAATAATCCCTGTACTCAAATATGTGCACTGTAATACTGCACACAGTATGGAAAAAATGTCAAATGTGTAAAACGTCTTAATACTCGCTATTCTTGATCGACCTGCAAATATATGGAAGTAAAATAATGACTAATGTCTTTGAAACAAAAAAGCATGTTAAATTGCACTTGCAAAAAAAAAAAAAAAACATTAACAGTGCTTGCATTTTAAGGCATTTTTGGGGGCTGAAATTCAGCAGGGTTGTAGTTTTAATTTGTTAATATTAAAATAAAAAATTCCTACACAATATCATTATTAAAAATGTAATAATCTGTATTCTCCTTCCAGACTAATCCCAAAATAGTCAGTTTGTTTAAAAATTCCACCTATAATAGTCAAAGGGGCAATTTTCAGTCTATTTTATTTCGCTTTAAAAAATTATTTCAACAAATGAATTGGTTCAAATTCAGCAGAATATTCAACACTGAGTACAGATGCATAATCACCATCTGCCTTTAGCCATCTAAACAGTAGGTGATGCAAGTGGGTGTTAACATAGACCAAAACAAGAGGCAGAGTCATTCATTCATTCACAAAAACTTATTTACAAAAATGGAGCAAGTGGTAAGTATGTGTTATGATTATCATGGCTAGTATATGTACAGAAGGACATGAAAGCTGCATTTACGTTTAATTAAAAGTCTTCGCGATTACTCTTGTCCCAGTGTACATGTAAGATATTATTTCCACCGCAAAGGAGATATAATGTTATTCACCATGACGCTGATGTGCAGACCAAACATTACATCTGAAAAAGGCTTATTGCTCTATTTCTGTAAATCAGTTTTTGTGATGAATGAATAGCCTTTGTTTGCACCACCTGCTGGTTAGGTGAACTGTGCATGCAATGCATTTCTTTTCTTTTCTTTTTTTTCTTTTCTTTTTTTTTGAATAAGTGCAATTCAAAAATGTTTGTTTGTTTCAGAGACATTAGTCATTAGTTTACTTCCATACAATCAATACTCAAATTACATTGCATACTGAGATTCTGAAGTATGCAGTAAGTGGACACTTTGATAATCCTGTGAGATGAGATGCAGTCCACTTTTAAAAGTAAACAACAAAAAGGCAGACAATATGTCTTTATAAGCATCATAGTTCTTATGGGCAAAATGTTTTTTTTTTCCACTTTAAATCTGTATATTTTTATTATATTTCTTCACTGTAGCCTATAGTGAAGACAAACGATCAAGGTTTCAATGAAGTGAGACTAGTGCCACCATGTGACCAAAACTGGATATTACAATTTATGACATTCTTCATAGACTCTAAATGAACAAATCAAATGAGCTGTGAGTCTAAATCATTTTGAATTCCTAACTGCATATTTCAGTGTACAAGATACATGATAAATTCAAATCTTGAATCCTGAATTATAGTAGCAGTTAAGTGTCAGAATTAGTTGTGGGCACAGCTTGATGCCATTGACATTTTGTCTTTATTTTTTTTTTATTTTTTTCAGTTCTCTGTCTACTTATTGGGATGTAAATATTTTTGTTTTCGCATATTTAATTCCTGTCTCTTTCTGAAAATGTCTCTCTCTCACTTTCAGGGTGGATCAGATTCTTGGTAGGGGCCAGATGCCTGTGGATAAGAAGGTCAGAGAAAAGTTGTTATCTGATGGAGACATTCTGGAAGATGTGAGCATGTTGGGAAGGGTGTGTAAGGTAGAGAGACAGGTGAGTATAGAGACACTTGGTTAAACAATGCATTACACAATCCAATGTTTATTGAATGCTCATTGAATCTGTGAATAATGCACTGGTTTTCAATATGACGGAAATGAGACAGTTTTTTGTTTCAACTATGCGCAGTTTAGCTCTGTGCATGTTTAGAAAAAAGTCTCTTACAACACACTTTTTTTTCTGAAAGTAATAAGTCTCATTTTTATTTTGAAAGATTACTTGTGTTTAAGAACATTCTGGGTAAAATTGAAAAAAAAAATGTCTTAACATTTTTATAGCAAAATGGTCAACTCCTTAGTATTGATAAGGCTTTTTTTTATAGTTAGTGTTTTATGTATCCTAAATACACACACATATATACAATTTACGATTCAGGGTTTTTGAATGGAAATGATTCACAATACAGTATAATTATCCTGTTCAGAAAATCACCACCTATTTCTAATTCTAAGGCTCTATCTGCAGTTTAGAGATATTGAGCATTCGACTTTGCAGATTAAACCTTTTTTTTCTAAATAAAAGTTCCCAAAATGTTAATAAGTGGTCACATAAAAAGAATATGTGAATAACTAATTTTTGACAAAAATGTAAGGTAGAAACTTATAATTCTAAGGCGATGAATTGTATTTACTTTGATTGTTATTGTTTTCTTATGTCATTGTCTTATGTTTTGCTGTTTGTTTTGATTGTCATATTAAATATAATAATATTAAACCAGTGGTTCCCAAAAAAGGGGAACTCGGCACAATTCCAAGGGAGCCACAGGGTGACTAACAGCATTGAAATGAATTATTATGGTAACACTTTATTTCGATAGTCCACTTTAGACATTCTACAGTACTTTATCTAACTATAACCCAACAGTCTACTGACAGTCTACTATAATATACTAATACTCTAATGAGAGTTACTGTAGTTGACACGTAGTTGAAAAGTTACTTATAATTAGTAGAACGTCTAAAGTGACTATCGAAATAAAGTGTAACCATGATTAACATATTAAAATAACCTTATTTTAATATGTTAATCATGGTTACACTTTATAAAGTGTCACTTCAATAAAGATCAAAATCAAGCTTTTTCCCTTCTAACTATTTATATTGAGAAACATACAGTTCTTTAAACTTCCAGAATCTCAGAATGAATCATGATTAATTTAATATATCAATAGTCCCAGTTTCTGACAGTAAAAAAGTTTGAGAAAAAGCAGCATTCTGCTTTATGCGACATTAATGAGAACTCTCTAAATAGATTAGCATATTAATGGGTATGGCAGTGTTAAGGATTTGGGTATTTGCAGAATAGATCTGCTACGACGCTGCTGCAGCTGCTATTGTTGATTATTGCAATATAAGCTGCTGTGAACATGTAAGACATACTACTGCTGCACAAATAGCATACATGAAATGACCTGTAGCACATCTACACAGACACAGGTGGAACTGGGGGAGGTGGAGGGTTTATGATTGCTGTAAGCAATAGAGACTGTAAGCAATCATAGAACCAAACTATTTAAATGTCGAGCGAGCAAGCTCATTGGCTGCAGATGCAAGTTGCAACAGAGACCAATTGGCTTGTGCAGTGTATTAAGTGATGTGAAAGCTAGCAGAACTAGATATTTGGCCATTGAGTCAAAAGGTTCAGTACCACTGTATTAAACATTTCTGACAAACAATATTTCTGTGTTCCATATATCATCTCTATAGGTACAGTCTATTGAAGCTAAGCTGGACTCATTACTGGACATCTACCGGCAGGTTCTGCAGAAGGGTTCGTCCTCTGTCCTCACTCTCTCCTCTCTTCCTCCTTTTGGGTTGGAGGAGACCTCAGACTATCAGAGCACCATCCTCAGTAAGGATCTCTCTTGCTCCTCCCAGGTCAGCCAGTCCATCTGTGGCAATCATCCCAGGGCTCTCCAACTAATACTAGCCCCCAGTGAACTCAACATAAACCAGAACAACTCCACAACATCTTCCCCTGGGCTCAATCCAGCCTCTGCCTCGCCCTTTAACCCATCAGCCTTCCAGGTTCCTTCAACCCCATCCATGGAGTGTCCATCAGCACAAGGCAGTCCATCTCAAATCCTCAGCGCCAACAGCTTTCACTCCTCTGTAAGCCACTTTCCATACGTTGGTCAACCAGCTCCACCTCTTCCACCCACAGCCTCTTCAAAACTCTCCACCTTTCCTCCACAACTAGGCCATGCCCGCAGCATGGGACCCTCTAGGTCAGACCCCACCGACTACGCCAAATCCTACTTCAGAGGAGTTGGGATAGACTTAGGACTTAACTCCAGTATGGGCTGCAAGCTTCAGCAAAAAAACAGACCAAATGCTAAAGAAGACAGTTCTTGGAGGAGACATATAAGCCTGGATGCAGAGGTGGAGATGGACCCCCTTGTTCCAGTTTCGACTCTTGTCCCGGTACAAGACCAATGCAGTGAAGACAGAGGATTGGGGAAGTCCCTCTCTGTGCAGGACCTCATGCAGCCCGCTCTAGAGGGTCTGGACATGCATTCTAGTCAGGCTAGTTTCTCCACTAGTGTTAGCAGCAGCCAGGACTCTTCAGCTGGGGGCATTGAGATGGGGATAGTGGGCTGGGGAGAAGCTAATCTCTTCATTGGCGATAGAGACTTGGAGGTCTCAAAGACACATACTCAAGGGTTTGACTTTCTTTCTCAGCCCCCAATGGATGCATCCTACTCATCGGAGCTGCTTAGGACCAGTACTACGGCTGGTGCTAGTCACAACCTAACACGTGGACATTCACCCAATACGGACAGCAACGAGACTATGAATATGCCACATGTTCGACTAAAATAACTCAATCTCTAAAGTGTTCTTAGAAACCCCCTCTGGTGGAATGAAACTTTGATACGAGACCTTATTTTATTTTTTAGTTCTTTTGTATTTTTATGAGGAAAAAGTACATTTAGATCATTTTTATACATATTAGTTTGGTTTATTTAAAAGAATCAATTATGATTTTGTATTGGTCACCATACTTGACATAGCATTGCATGCATTGTTCTATTTCAAATGTACTGTAACATTTTTTATCTAATAGAATGTGGCAAATTAATAATCGACCTGCTGCAATGATCAAAATCATAGATGGCATGAACTATTCACTGGACTGCATGAACACTGTATGTCATCCGCATACACAAACACATTGTCTCATTACAAAAAGCCTTGTCAACCCGAAATTTACAAGCTGCCTAAAAATAGATAAAAATGATCAGAACATATTTTTCTCTTTCTGAATTTATCATATTGTATTACTAGGTAATTTACTTTTATTGTATAAAAAAAAAAACAATACCAGAAAGTGAAGGAAACTGATGCTGCTGAATTTTTTTTTTTTTATAGTTTTGATAAAGCAGATTAAATTTTGAGAGAAGCACCTGATAGTTTCCATACTAAATTAGCTGCTGTTTTTGTAATGAGTTCTGATTACATCGCAGCAGGAGCCCAACTTAATATCCTACCCGTTAGTTTTGTGAATATAAATTATTATTAACAACAATAAAATAATAGAAATTATGAATATTTTAATACATTGTATGTATGTGTGTGATTTATCATAATTCATAATAAATGTTATTTTATTTTGTTGTTAATTATAGATTGTAATATTTACTAATATTTATATTTTTATAGTCATTGTTTTTATCATTTTAGTTGGCATGTGCAACAGCAGTGAATATTTGTGTCAGATCTCTCCAAAATCTGACTTAAATACAATAGCATACATGCCTATACTCATCAAAGATGCTTGTGAAAATATCTTCTCTTGTTGTTATTCCTTTGTCTAGTAATTTAGAAGCAGACATCGGAGTTCAAATGCATTTTATTTTTGGTTATTAAACCGACACACATTAGATAATGGAGAATCATATTCTCGTTAAAGTACATGAGTGCAAGTGCAAACAGGATAGCTCATGCTTCTTCGGAGCGCTGTCAGGGTAGACAGTAAAGTGCGCTGGGTACTTTAGCTTCATGCACACAGAAAGACTACAAAAAAACTACATTACATCACAACACATCAACAGACTGTTGATCAATCACATCAATCAGAACAGACTAACATATAATCTTTAACCTATTGGACTATATAAGCCATGTCACATAAGCAATCTTAGCAAGAGTCTTCTTAAAGTGCTTATAACAATTTAACAATAGAGCAAATACCACAACGAAGACTACAATTCAAACTGAACGTACAGTTAAACATAAATAATCATAATCATTGTCAAGCAGGCGCAAGTTTCCCTTTTCCTTCTTCTGCTTTTGCGATGCATTGTAATAATTAACCAAACCTTGATTATGAAGTTGAAAAGAGGTGGGATGGTGTGGCTGACCCAAGTGTTAGCAGCCCAGCACAACATTCATTTGTTCTTCTGGGCCTTTTGGGCAGATTTTGTGACCTTCCCGGAGGAAGAAGTCTTCTTCTCAACACCCTTAATGACACCCACTGCTACGGTCTGACGCATGTCACGTACTGCAAAGCGACCTGGGAAATGAAGATCATAAGAAAAACAGAGCTTAGTTATGATTATTCATTTAAGGGTCTTCAATCTCTGTAAGGCCAAAAATCAAGATTCAAATTGCATTTTACGCCTTACATTTACATGCTACAATACTGTAAATATACAACTTACTGTATATTAATGTATTAACATTTAAATTACATTATAATTTTATGTTCAGCAAATTTCCAGTTCAGGTTCAAGATGGTCATTCAAATCCGCCATACTGACCAACAGAAATTTGATTGGTTTGAAATTAACTTGTGTGAGCTGCTAGTCTGGGTTTCCCCATAGTGCCTTACCGCAGCGCGATTTAATTCACGCTGAAAGGCAGTCTGGATACCATGGCCAGATTTTTCGCCAATCACAGAACGGGGAGGAAGCAGCAAGACGATGATGACATCTATGCCACCTACTGCAGTTTGTTTATATGTATGGATTCAACATGGCAGCAGACGCGAAGCTTTTGATGCAGCCGTAGATATTGTTTTTAAGTAGTTTAGAATGCAAGTTTTTATTTAGAAAAAGTCGTTATTGTTGTCTTGCCATTAATCGCCCTAATGGAGGACTGGGTACAGGAGGCGGTCAACCTTGGAATATCTGCCGCTCAGCTGTGTCCCGAGAAAGAAAATGCGATAAAGATGTTGTTACCAACTTCTGTTCGGCAGTCCCGAGGCCTGGATGAGCGCAAAATGGCAAGACATGTTAGCCACGGAGTTGTATAGTACCAACCTGCTAGGCATCGTCGACTAAGTCCATTTAACTTATAAATGGTAAGTGGTATTTCTTAATATCATATTGTCATTATGCCTGTAGACTACCTACTGTGGTTGTCACAGTGCCACTAAGTTGTGTTGCTTTTCAATATCAATACATCTAACGTTACAGCTTTAGTAGGATAACTTTCAGCTGTGCACACGTACCTGATTAAAGTTGTTGACACTTTAGTCATTAAATAAAATTTTTATTTTTTTTTAACTTGTGAAATACAAGCGCAAACAATTTCCAATGCAAATGTAACCCCTCCACCCGGGTCCTACTCGCCCCGCTCCGAGCGGGCCTCGAATCCCGGGTCTCCGGCGTGAGAGTCGGGCGCTCTAACAAGGAGGCTAAAGACTGCAGCCTCTAGCATCTGTCGCTAGAGCGCCTATAGAGATCGGGAAGTGAGGTTTACTCGCACAGCAACTACTAGCTGGCCTCCGTTACACTCACCCCCCTAAACCTCACTCTCATCCCGGGTCACGGCACCAATGTAACCCCTCACACCCGGGTCCCACCTCGAACCCGGGTCTCCGGCATGAGAGTCAGGCACTCTAACAAGGAGGCTAAAGACTGCAGCCTCTAGCAACTAGCTGGCCTCCGTTACACAAATAACAACTTCAACATCTATGTTAAACTGTACTTAATACTTGTGTTTTCTAATTGAAACGATTGGCTATGAGCTACGTACAGTACAGGCGCATTTGATAGACATTCTTAGCACCCAATAATACGGCTCTGGGCATTCGTAAACCACGCCTCAAATACGAGAAATTGTGCATGTGGTTCCCAGACCCACGTCTTAACGAGAATTGGGTCTGGCGTTAGCCAGGCTAGTGAGCTGCGCTCGTTGAATTGATATTATTATAATTATTAAGTATTTTGTAAGAGCTTATTTGGGTGCAATTTTCAATCGAAAAGTCCTTTGCTGTTCCCCTTTCTTCTCTCCTATGACTTCCTGTCTAAACTATCCTGTCAAATAAAGGATAAAATGCCCAAGGTATTAAAACTAGTAAAACTAGTATTAATCCTTTTGTGCCTGCCCTTGAAAGCGTGAAATATTCTTGAAAAATCACTTGGGAAAAAATAAAAGAATCTTTACAGTGGGAGTGACTTGCTAAAACAATGTTTTATAGTAAACATACTAGAGTAATTAGTAACTTTAAATCCAAATTAAGAAATGACCCTTACCAAGAGGAGGATACTCAGAGAAACTCTCCACACACATGGGTTTGCCTGGTATCATATCTACAATAGCAGCATCCCCAGACTTCAGGGACTTGGGATTATCTTCAAGCTTCTTTCCTGAGCGACGGTCAATCTTCTCCTTTAACTCGGCAAACTTACAGGCAATATGAGCAGTGTGGCAGTCGAGAACTGGGGCATAACCAGCACTGATCTGACCTGGATGGTTCAGAATGATCACCTGACCAGAGCAGAAAGTGCACAAGTGAATAGTTTGTAATGACAAACACCCTCTGAATAAAAGTGCAGTTTAAAAAGATAAACCCTAACGGGCATATTCAGAACTCCCTCTGGGCAAAAAGGATATCATGAATTGTGTCAGTAGGCTTTGTAATTGAAACCCTATAAAAACACATAGCTAAAACCTTTACCTGAGCTGTGAAACCCGCCGCCTCCTGTGGAGGATCGTTCTTGCTGTCACCTGCAACATTTCCACGTCGGATATCTTTGACTGAGACATTCTTCACATTAAATCCCACATTATCACCTGGAAGAGCTTCAGATAGAGCCTCGTGATGCATCTCCACAGATTTGACCTCAGTGGTCACGTTCACGGGTGCAAATGTCACAACCAGACCAGGTTTCAGAATACCTGTCTCTACACGTCCCACAGGCACAGTACCAATTCCTACACAGAAAGAGTGAAAGGGTAAAAGAGGGATGTTTGTTGGAATTATTAACTGGAAATATCAGTCTTTGTGATGTTACTTCTTTTATTTCTAAAAATATCCTTGGGATTATCATACTTAATGTGTATACTGAATACTTTCTTCAATCCCATCCTTATATACATAGAAAACTATAAGTCATTCATAGGTTACACATCTTTACAAGATAAAGATTAGCTATACTGTGCATATGATCTTAAAGTTTATTTTAAACAAGTGAACTTCTTATTTAGTGTTTTTTTTTTAAGTATGGGTGTCCTTATACCTCCTATTTTGTACACATCCTGCAGCGGGAGTCGGAGGGGTTTGTCAGTGGGGCGGGTTGGAGGCTGAATGGCATCCAGAGCCTCCAATAGAGTCGTCCCAGAGCCACTCCCATCCTTACGAGTGATCTTCCAGCCCTTGAACCAGGTCATCTACAGACAACCAAAAACAATCTTACTGACCCCTCCATTGTTTCCTTACAAGAGCTTCCAAATGTTCAATACCTGCTATCAATAATGAATACTAATGTATTAACATATGAACATTTGGAACTTAGGAAACAATGGAGGGGTCAGTAAGATTTTTTAAAAGAAAGTAATGCTTTTAATCAGCAAGGCTGCATTCAATTGATCAATTCAATAGTGACAGTGAAGACATTTATAATACAAAATATGTCTATTTCAAATAAATGCTGTTCTTTTTAACCTTTTATTCATCAAAGAATCCTGAAAAAACATATCACATTTTCCACAAAAATATTAAACAGGTTTCAACAGTTTTCATAATTGATAAAAATATTTTTTTGTTCTTGGGCACCAAATCAATGAATAAATCAAGTTTAAATGCAAATGTAGATCAGCATTTTTGTATGATTTCTGAAAGATCATGTGAAACTGATGGAGTAATGAAAATTGCCATAACAGGATTCAAATATAAGACTGTTTTACTGTTTTTGTAAATCAAGTAAATACAGCCTTAGTGAGCACACATATTTCAAATACAATAAAAAATCATATTGACTCATAATGTTTTAATGGTTATGTATGTTGTGAATGCATAACATGCATAATGCATATAATATTAAATCTACAAATAACATAAGTATAATAAATAAGAGGTTGGCTTGCAAAAAACTAAATTATGCCAGTGATTAATTAATTTGTAAAACTACAGTATTGAGTATATTGATAATATGAAAGATAATAGGGCTGGACGATTTTGGCTAAAATCATAATCACGATTAATCGAACAAGTCACCTCGATTACGATTATTGAACGATTATTTTCATTTTTTTTTCTTTCTCATGTGTCACTAGCAAGGCTTATACTGTAAATATGTGTGTATTTTTTTCTAATG